GGACTAGATGGATGAACTATTTCTGGTCAGCTGATCGCTAGCAAATTGGTTGTCCATGTTTTTGTGGTATCAGCATTTGTGGTCTTAGGCTGAATATCAAAAAATACACCACGTCAATTTTTTACCCGATAATGCTGACATGGGAGAATTCGCGTAGCGCGTTGTTGTCCCAAGCAGGGTAATGTCAAATTTCAAGCTGTCTAGCGAAATACACTCATTTGCATACTCACCTGGAACCAGACTGGATCTCTCGTTCTTGATGTTTCTAAGGCTGACGGCTGACTGATGAGCCCCAAGTAGTCGTGGGCTGTCGACGAATTTTCAGTAACCTTATGAGTAGTGCATTACAAATATGTACATGTATCACGATATCTCGATATAGTAGCGACTGAAACATGAGACGGCCCGGAGTAGCACATTCAGTTGGCTGGAAACATGACAAACGGGAGATTCAGCTGGGTTTCAGGTGAGTCTCTCGGGAAACCTAATCTGTTTTAAAATGAACGCACTTCGCTATTTCCGTGCAAATTTGACTCAAGTGGAACGGATTTTCGGGGACTTCGCCTAATTGAGGAGCCCTAAGTAGGGCGAAACGGTCGTGGGCTGTCGACGGAATTTCAGCAACTTTACGAGTTGTGTATTACGCCTATTATACTTTCTATTTTTGAGTTCACAAAAGTGTCGTTAGTGTGTCAAATATCACCCGGATCGTGTCCAAATATGCAGCGATCTTCCACGTGTGCTATGATTTTTCTTGGACCGTTTTCAATCTTTTGATGATTTTGCGGTTTTCACTAGGGTTGACTTCCTCCCCCCTTGCGTGTATTGATTGAATTCTTCCACCTACTGTACACTGAACAGTCGGGTCTACACAAGTCACAAAACATCGAAAAGCGATCACAAAAGTTTGTTCATGCCAGTGAGATCACATCATTTGTCTGTCGAATGTTAATTCCCACGCTGTTCTGCTATTCAAAAAACCCCATTATTCACATGAGGAAAAATGTACGCGTAAATGTGAACACAAACGGATATAACTTTCATTTTTGAAGTCAATTTTTGATGGGCTAACTCAAGTCCTCCGGGCAATCGTGGATTAACTAATGCAACACAAAACTGTCTCGTTGAATTGTGTACTCCCAACGTGGGAATCGGCACACTTTGATAGACAAATGATGTGTTTTCACTGGCAAAAAAAAACAAACTTCTGTGATCCCATTCCAATCTTTTGTGATTTGCGATAATTAAACACATCAAAATTCAAACGCCGATTGATAAACAGTTTTCTCTACGCAGATGCAGTGAGGTCAGCAACATTGCTCAACATCATTCCAAATAGGAATTAGGATTATGAGTCACGTGCCAACGTTGTAATGAAATTATTCAGGGTAGGACTGTGAGGTCTGTGAAGACCACATACGCGGTTGATCGCTGGGTTGGAAGCCCCTCAATGAAACCCTCAAAGAAACCACCACACGCGTTTTCCAAGTGCACTGCCTGATTAAGCCCAGTTATTCCTCTCTTCTGGCCAAAATCCCTTCAAATCTGCCATCTCACTGTTTCCGAACAGTGGGTTTAATTTCCTCATTTGAGAAAAACGACTTTCCAAATATCGGGCAGGGCATTTCGCGTACAAATATTACTTGACACTGGAATACCAGCGTTCGTAGGAGCCCTTATACCAAAAAATCACGCAAGGTGATCTAGCCTAATTAATTTTGGGTGTTTTTGGGATTTTGTAGAATGTACGCTCACATGACTCTCTTTTGGAAAATCGCCCTTCTGGACATTCTGGTGAGTCCACGCCAAAGAAGGGAAGCACTGGACCCGCAAACACTAATGCATGGTGGTGTTGGAACTCCGGCAAGGAGTTCAACTCCTGATGAGTACAACTAAGACCGAAACTTTAGTTCAGTGCTACCCCTTTGCTGTGAACTCACCACTATGAACGCGCCTAGACAGCAAGACGTTTGGTCAGCCGAGAGCCATGTGAGTGTGCATTCTATTATTTTTTCTCACATCACTGCAAATATTTTTGTTATCTACAGGATTCGACGGTTGCGCTTACTGGAAGGCACGCAGTAAAGGGGATTTCGGCTTCCAGTTTGGACGCTATGAACGATACATTCAACTACAAGCCGGTTAGAACATTCTTATTTCATATACACCTACCAAATATTTTGAACGAACTATGATTTATGGATCTTCTAGATGGAAGTCATCTGCCTAAGTGTGTCTGTTGAGCTCTCAGATGAATGAAACCGACGCCCCGCTATCTAGATTTCCCATCGATTTTGTGGGTAATATTGAAGCACTCATAATCTCGGCGATCGTTTCAAATGAATGTTCGAACACAATAGGTTGGATATTGGAGGACGTTCTGCAACCGAGGCATTTAATCAGTTTCAAAGGGAATAAACTAGTAAAAGGCCGTCGACAAATATTCACTGTGAGTATTCACCCATGAGTAGTATCATTCCGGGGAACGCATATTCAAGTGAAAAAATCTTCGAGTGATCTAGTCAAGTTGTGTTTTCACGTTTTCGTCAAGTTGTCGAAATTTTTGCGTGCCACAGATCACCGAATGACAAGGTGAAATAAAACCAGTTACTTTCGAACCAAGTCTCCTGGGATCTTCGCGTATTTCTTGCCGAGGCCCACAATCCGTTTTGCAATTGGTGAGAAACCCTGCGAGATGTCGCACACAACCGATTCTCGTGAAGGAGCTACCGGTTTATTGCTGTTAATATTGATTTTATGATTGAGTGACTTTATAAATGAGCAATGAAACAAATAGTCGTTCGGCCTAAACACCTTTCCGGTGGCTAGCTGCGATGCCACCCGAAAGGAGCACGAGGGCTGATCTACTGTCAGGTTGCCCAAGCTTAGGTAGGGGAAGTCGAGATGCCGGGGTCGAGTTCCAACCACGGACTTCCCTGCCAGTGATTTGTGCCTTAACCATTGAACTATCTGGATATCAAGAATGCCAAACGAATGTAGAACCGGTCAGAACCTTCCGAGTAACAGTTTTTACTGTAGAGCTATGCTAACCATATTGAAAACTGTACGCATAAAAGGGATTTAACCTAATGTTAACCGCAGAAAATTCTGGAATATCATACGGCCGTTGTGTAGAGCATACCTTTCTGAAATCTTCCTGAATACAAATACCTCATATATCACATGAAAGATTAGGCACTCACGTTGTGGACATACTGGTGAAGGGAAAGGGGCCTTCACTGAGGAGTTACTTATTTTAGAAAACGTCAACTGATCAGTTACAGACTTCTGGACAGGGAAGCTAAACTTTCGTGTGCAACTTGTTTACAAAAAACTGAATATCCATCTTCTCCTTGAACGTGTCTTCCTGAACTTTCCTGGATATCCAGTGAACCTTGCACAGATACAAGCAAATGCGACTCCACAAAGTCCGTAATAGATCTTACTTTTCAAGAAACGCGAAGCGGATTTACGAGAAAACATAATACTCGCATGCGCCATCAGCAGTATCCAACGTTACACTGGTAGGCCACATTACAATGCCTAGCCTTTTAATCATATTGCTGATTGTTGAGTTCTACTTACACCGAGTACATCGTAAAAATCTGGCATAGCTCAGACCCGAAACGCGTTCATTATTGCATTTTTAAACCCTTTGTAGCACTTGATCTAACATGAGCTTAAACCTTATTCTCACCAAATATTTGATGATTTAACAAGTTTTCGGCTCGTGAAAGATTTATCCGGCGATTCTGCCCTTAACGAGTATCAGGTGGGGACGAGATAGACCAAGTGGTTAGAGCGCGAATTTACTAACCGAAAGGTCCGTGGTTCGAACTTGACCTCTGCCTCTCGACTTCCCCTGTTTAAGCTTGGGCAACTTGGCACTATCCCAGTCCTCGTGCCTGCTTCGTGTGGAATGGCAGCTAGGCACCGAAAGGGTGATACAGCCGAACTGAACTGAGCATCAGGTGGGCGCTGGTGAATCTCAGATTTGTGACTCTCCTCGTAACATTTGTATTCCTTTACTGTGCGAGCCGAACGTCAACTACACAGCTTGTGCAGGTGGTGAATCTCTTTGGGTGAAAAACCTGACGTAGGCCAGACACTGATTCATCCAGTCCATAAACTGACTATCGGAGAGTAGTCAGAACGACACATTTCAACGGTCATTGCTTCTCCGGAAGACACGACCCAAAATCCACTGGTACAAGGCTCGGATATTTCTCCAAATGTTTTTTGGTAATACGTCCAAAGAAAAAATAAATATAAAAAAATTAATAATCGCAATCAAGGAACACAACTACTGAAATGAAGTGGGCAACGAGCCGACAAGATAGAGGACATGTTGACTACGATGTAACCCGATTCCTGAAAGAAACGATCAAATACGTGACAGCAGGTGTCGACACTTTTAATTTACTATTTACTCTCCTTGAAGCATATGTGAACGCAGGAATTACAACACCCAATCGAGCACTGCCTATGCCCCCTTGATCGGATCAACTACCACGGTATCAATTGCCTTGTCAACTCTTATCCTATCCTATGTCACAGACAGTATCATTCTTGGTTCCCTTTTGAAGGTCCTCGATGCAAGTGCCTGATGTATTGCATGAAATTTAGAAACAATTCAACTGTAGCTCCCTTTCGGTGCCTGGCTACCATGCCACCCGATGAAAGCACGTGTGCTGATGTACTTCCAGTTTGCCTAAGCCTGCAGAAGAGCCATCAAGATAATCGGTTCTAACCGCGGACATTCCAGTCAGTAAGTCCACTCCTTAACTATTGAGTAACCTCTGGTAACTGTACAAAGGTAGGTTTAGGAGTGAAGCAGTTCTCGCTTCTCATATAATCAGGCACCCCGGGGATATCAGGTACAAGATGGCCGGTTTGTTTTTAGCGAATTTTGCTTCCATTAAAATCATGATATAGACCACATACTGTGTTTAGTAAATGAGAGTAGGTTGGCATTTTGTTGACTGGCGATAAAAAAACTGTCAACCACCACCTAGCTTCTCAAATATAAGCGCAGTTCCCCAATCGCTCTCTCTGTCTGAACAGCTTTTACGGTATTTCAACAGGTCGGGGTTTTTTATCAATGTGTACGCAAGGAACCATCGAATTCTGCTACGTTTTCGTCTCGCCTCATTGGCGGTTGATGTACCGGTAGTGCTTTCCAAATTTTCATCAGATTTAGGGACCATCGATTTGGTTTCTGGTTCCAAACTGTTTGTCGCAGCTCGAGGTTCTTGGTGGAACTTCGCATTCAGTAAGCAATTTGGTTTCCGTATGGTTGCAAAAAACTGATTGACCTCAGCCAACAGGGCAGATTCCAAATGAGCATCCTCGGCACTTGTGTACCTCTCCAACAATATCCACAAAAACACTCGAAATGTCGGGTTATTTTTGAGCACATCCATGTATAGAAATCCCAGGAAGGCCAAGTGACCGGTATCCAGAGACTGAATTGGCCGAGCTAGAGGGGACACGTCCAGTCGAGAGATAACCAAAGCGCTACTGATCGGACAGTATAAAGTTCGACCAACACCACTGACAACTCCGAAAAAGACGTTGTAGAAACTGCACAGGAATGTGTATAACTGTAAGGCTCGAATGTTGTCGAAACCGTATGTTTTGCCTCTGTGTTGTGTGAAGAGAAACCGGATGGCCAGTTGTTGCGCAGTGACAAATGCTGTCATGAGAAGAAGGCTTGGCCACCACATTTTGATCCACTTCACAAAAAAGTCAAATGGAGTGAAGGCGTTCAGGCTGACAACTAAAGCCAAGAACAAGAAAATGAACGTGTAGATCAAAGCTTGAAGATAGAATCCACACGCCATGGCAGAAACCTGATAGCTCGGATAGATGATCGTCCCTCTGGTCACCTTATAAGCATCCAGCCAGGATTGTAACTGAGGCATTATCTTGAATCCGTGTTGATAGATATCGACACATAACTGTTGATAGTGAACCGCAATCCGGAACACATTAGTCACATTCGTGAACATGGCCAAAGAGGTTGCAATCAATAAACAAACCCAGAACACATCTATCCAATAGTACAATAATTCAAACTCCATTTTTCGTAAAACTGTCGGATCTGTCACGTTTGTCCCGACATACTGATGCACACGACGAGCATTTTCAACCGCGATGTTCTCATAGATTGTCGCAGGTACATCAAGATATTGGGCTTGTATGGATCGCTTGCCTCTACGGAACACTCCGTACACAGAACTCAGGAACTGAGTGAGTAGGAAATGTTGTAACAACACACTCACCGACAAACTCCAAATCAATCCGGCCGGGTAGGTGAATCCTCCGGATTCGGAATTCACACTCCTCCAGATGGTGCGGAGATTCACGCAGCACTTGACTTTCACCTGACGTGCGTCAATAACCCTCTTTTGATAGGTCTCTTTTGGCCAGAGCAACTTACGCACATGGCTGACGTTTTTATGCACGTAGGTCTTGAAATTGATCGGTATCCCAATCCAGATCGCATTGCGCAAATTCTTGCGCTGTGACCACACAGCTTCGCAGAAATATACCAGCAAGTAAGTGAAACCGATTAGGGTGGGCAATTGAAGAGATACCTTTTGAGTTATAAAATCGAGCCCCATGCAAGTGGAACGAATCAATGAGATGACGGTGAGGACTGCTTGAAAGCCACAATAGATAATTCCCACGATCCAACAGATCAGACCGCCGTGTGTAATACAAAGGAATGGGGGTAGGGCTGTAAGCGCGACCAAGCAAATGGCGAAAATTTTGTACATAATACCCAACCACACAGGCGCCACGGGGAATACCATCGCCATGCCATAGACTTTTGTGAAGATGCCGGCAATCAGATTGAACGCACAGACATATTCGGCCGCATAGGCTACTGTTGAATGCCGATACTGTAACATGTTCATTGGAATGGGTAGTCCAGGATATCGCTTGAAGTAGTTGACGATCCTGGTGCTGATTGACAATCGCTTGTTTGGATGTTTCGGTGTCTGAACTTGTCCGCGTAGGAAGGAGCGCCGTTCGGTGAAGAAACACATGAAGATGTAGAAGGCCATTGCAAAGTAGATCATCGGGCTATAGTAGTCCCGCATCACAATCTGACTTTGTTTGCATTCGTCCGTCGGTACGAATACCGGAGTTGTGTTTGACCTGAACAACCACATTAGGGTATAAAAGTCCAATCTTTCCATGTTGTCTGAATGAATCACCTGGTTCGTTCTCTACTGACCTGAAAACAGAGGAATAACGTTCTCAAACATGTGAAAAAATGGTGGTAGTGGATGTATCGGTTCAATGTAACATTTACTTGGATATATTGCGTTTAACGTGCAGTATGCCTTAGAAGTTTCCAGAGAACTGAATTAAGAAAACCGAAGGCGTTGGGTTTTAAAAAGGACTTTGGCGAAGTAGCGGCCATGAAAAAACAATACTTTGAGGGTTGTGACCTGGTTATTGTCAATTATCTGAATTCAGTTAGATTTGACCGCCCTCACGTTTCGTGTTACCCAACGTGGGTGACAAAAATATTCCTAGCCTGACCGCGCAACCTTACACAACGAAAGAACTTTTCTTCGTTTCAGCAAATGCGGCCTGCCCCTAACAAGTTAACAGTATCTCTTCAGCACCGAGTATTTCTGCCAACATTATACTCTGGTACTAAAACGCCCGTTTTTCAAAACCGTTCCATTCTCATCTATTCAGAAATACACCTGTTCCGTCAAATGTTTTTTGAACATTTTAGTAACCGTGAAGCACACGCCTCACTGCCTGCTTGTTTTGTGCTCCTGTAACGTCTGGAGAACCAAATGTTGGTCAAAGTGGGTTCAAATGACATTCTGCTCAATTTCTCTCACTGGCGACCTCGTTTTAACTCTCTCAAAACCGTTTGTTGTGATACCTGGTTAATAAATTGCGCAATCATTGAAATTGTTCCGTTGTGCGGGAACGTGATTATTAGCCTAAATCTCAAGAACAAGACTGCCAATTTCGGTGATCTTTATGGAAGATTGAATCAAAGCTTATCGTTGGGAAATATGAAATTATGTTCATCCTTTGTCATCTTGGCACACGAAAATATGTATTAGTCAAAATACAATGTAAGGTTTATTCGCTTGTAAAGAGAGAAGGACCCAAAAAGTGCTCAGATAAACTCACATGCTTCTCAAGTAGACAACAAATTACAGAAAACTATCAACTATCCCCTCCAATGGGCTTTTTATGGACTGAGGAGGAACCCCTGAAAGGAAGCCGTCAAAAATACATGTCACTTTCTTGACTACACCTCGTTTTGGGTATGAACAGAACACACACAATTGGACAGGACAATCGGTAAGACACATCGCTGAACGAAACTGCGACGGCCACAACCACTGTACGACGAGTACGCGGTTATTACAGCTGACATCGATGATGATGATGATGATGATGATGATGATGATGATGATGATGATGATGATGATGATGATGATCATGATGATGATGATGATCGGTAAGACATTGAGCTTTCTCACTCAGTGATCTTGGGAAAGAGCTAATTTAATGGTTGGGAATCCGTGTATGACTCAATTGAGTAAACGGTTACGCTTCATCGACTATTCTTAGGGAAATATCCTGCTTTGAATTTCAATGTCACAATCCAAAATTCATTACACCAGCTGCACCATGACACCTAGAGAGCACCTCGTTACACACGGGGATATTCGTAGCTTAGGTGGTAATGGTCGTTGGCTTGTTCCCTGAGCTGGGCGATTTGATTGCAGACGTTTCATCACCAATCGAGGTAACATCATTAGTGCGTCATCGGGAAGCATAGTGGTGCGTAGCGGCGGGTTACTGGTTGTACGCTGAGTGGTGTTACGTGTGTGTTAATATACGTGTGGCTAGCCGGGGATGACCTTTGTTCGCGATTAGTTGTTCGGTTGATCGGTTCCATTGGTTGCTTCGTTATCCTGTGTCTTCATTCGCTGATGCCGACGTGACCTTTGAGCTTGGCATCCCCTGCCGTCACAATCTGGGTGATGCTGGAGTGAACTTTGTCCTTCTGAATCCCGAATTGCGACCTTTATTTATTTGACTCGAAGGAGTTCCTTGTTTCATTGTTTGTGAATCCAATATTTGGTCCTCCTTGAGTGTTCCGGTTGAGATGTTGGTCTTTTGCACGTAGAGGTGCGTAGATGGGATCCAGTTCGATGCGCTCTGTTGATCAAATCTGCCGTGGAATACCATTTTTCTCAGAACTTTTCTTGTGTCTCGTGTCTCTGTATGTCAAACTTTTTGCGTTTTCCAGATTGAATTTGTGGCCTTCTTAGTCTTCGTGTATGGATATCAAGGACAGGGAGGCATCTCCCCTGACAGCCGCGTTGTGTTCCTTTATTCGTGCGCATAATTTCCTCCCAGTTTGTCCGACGTAGAATTTGTTGCAGTTGACTTGGTATATCACATTTCTCCTCTTGGTTTTGCCCCGGTTATCTTTCGATCTAGAGGGTCATCATCATCATCACTGTCAGCTGTAAGAACCGCGTACTCGTCGTACAGTGGTTGTAGCTGCCGCAGTTTCGTTCACCGATGATTTGGGGGGTAGGTAGCTGCGCATTGCACGCGCGAGCTGGTAAATTGGTGTATAAATCCAGCACTGTCAGTGGGCTGTCAAGTGGGGGGGTTGGAATAGGAGCTATGCATTGAAGGCAATAGCTTTGTGTGATGAACATGACTGATACTCTATTCGTTGCTCTATTCATTATTCTCTTGTTTTAATATTCCATATGCTGTACATATTCGCCAGTTCGAATACATACGTGCTGGTTGTTACGCTTCACTGAATTCTGGATTTCTAGTTTTTCGGGTTGTACCGATATACGTACGAAACTTAATTCTCACATTTTGGCGTCGCGATTGGAACGATTCATCATGCCTGCCGAAATGGAACCATTAGATGTTAATTCAACTGCGCGTGACGTAGAGGATTACTTGGAACGGTTCGACATATGGTGCCTCACAAAATCCGATGTGGATGAGAAGAAACTCACTGCATATTTCCTACTACTTCAATCTCATGGCGAGGCCCCTCCATCTTGCGGTAATCCTAGTGACTAACTACTACACCAAAGGCAATTACTACAGGACCGAGGGACGAGGTTTTTGATCGCAAACTGTGTAGAAAATCAACTTCAATCGGAGAAGTGGTCCAGCCTTTCTTGCCTACACGAATGCTTTGTCAGTCATTGATGGAGGTGGTTTACAAGACCCCACATACCAGTCAGGTCAAGTTGGCATTGGACTAAAGCAGTACCCCTTACGTTTTTCTCTGCTTCAATCCGCCTCACCTCCGTTGTCACATTCCATAAATTTTGATGCATTTCTTTGCCTTTGTGTCTCTCACTATGTGTAAATTACTTGGTTTTTGTTTAGTCTTTTTCAGGCCTCTCAGACAGAGAAGGGGTTGTTCAGTCTCAGAAACTGATCTTTCTGCGACAATAAAAGTGTTTCGCTGTCAAGCTTTTTGTCGTCTGTTCTTATAACCGTTTCTTATGATATCTGATCCAAATGGTTCAGTTTTGACCAAATTAGGTTAAGTATACTGTGTCTTCCGTGTTAAATCATCCACAAGTCAGCGATTTTATGCAATCTTGTTTACTGCCGTCACTGCTCTGCAGAATCCTCTGACCTCAAAGAGAACTATCGTTTTCATAAAGAAAACTACTCACAAGGTTGCTGAAAACTCTTCGACAGCACACGACCGGTTTCGTCCTTTTTGGGGATCATCAGGTAGGCGCAGTCCCCGAGTTTCTGTCAACCTTATGATCTACTTGAACCCAAATCGGACTGTTTTCGAGAAATACACTCATTTGCAAGTCAATTTGGCTTTCACCGGAGACTCAATTTAATCTCTCTTTTATGATGATCTCCAACTATCGTTTGTTCAAAACAGCCCATGTTGTATCATCTATATGGAACGTTCTTAAGACTTGAAAAACACTCTAAACCCGTGAGGCATTCTGCATTCCCTTTGAATGCTAGTCAACCAAACCCAAACCACAAACAAGATAAATATTTTTACAGGTGTTTTTTTGTGCGCTTTGATTGTTTTTTTGATCCCGGCAGCAGTAGGAGATACGTTGTTTGCTCACTGTTGGAGTACAATCCTTCTTCATTAGCGAACTTAGCTGGTCTACAGTCTAGACATACTGAAAACCCGAAATTAGATTCACTCATTTTGATCGTCCACATAGTCACCTATTGATTAGGAGAGATTTAGTTTCGCGAACTAATTTGGTTTCTTCGAGAGACTCAGCTATAACCCAGCTGAATATCTCATTTTTGATGTTCTCAGGCAACTGAATGTGCTGCACCAGGCCGCCCCATGTTTCAGTCGCTACGATATTTGAAATATCACCATACTAGTCGTGGGCTGTTGGCGGATTTTCAGCAACCTTATGAGTAGTACACCACAAAGATATACATGTATCGCGATATTTCAAATATCGTAGCGACTGAAACATAAGGCAGCCTGATGCAGCACATTCAGTTGCCTGAGAACATCACAAATGAGAGATTCAGCTGGGTTCCAGGTGAGTCTCTCCAAAAAGCCAAATTAGTTTGCAAATAAGTGTATATTCGTTAATTTCGTGCAATTTGGTTTCAAGTAGAACGTAAGGCTGACGGAAACCCGGGGACCGCGCCTACCTGCTGAGCCCCAAGGAGGGCGAAACCGGTCGTGGGCTGTCGACGGATTTTCAGCAACCTTGTGAGCAGTACATTACAAAGATATAGAAATTTGGTTTCCTCACCACGCGGGTTGAGTTTTCAGTTCTATCGCAAATCTCATTAAATACTTCCATAATGTGAAGTGAAATTTGTTTTTTTCCGAGTTCGAAAAACAGGACTCCGTAACGCAGCGCGACGAACCTTTGAGCTTCTCGTGTCCGTTGCACTATTACAGCTGAACGGACAAAAATGATTTCTTTGCAGATTATGTCAAAAAGTGGTGTTTGCCGTTCCGGAAACAAGGCAAGTTGTTAACTAGAAACAACAACTGTGTCAGAGGCTACAAGTTCTCATCCTGAGCATATGGTGAAAAGTTCAGATTAGTTCCGGCAAGTCTACTGACCATGTTTCACTGCGAGACTGAACAGACTTGGAAACGTTTGCAAGAATACAAGAAAAGATAAACTTCGTCCATTCTACATCGTGT